AAGAAAGAAAGAAAGAAAGAAAGAAAGAAAGAAAGAAAGAAAAGAACAGAATTGCTTTGGGCATTACCATTTTTACAGCTGTGCTTTCTAGAATCCTCTCTGCTAGAAATCTTTCTCTGCCTGTCTGAATATTAGCTCTCCTCTGGGGCCAAATTAAGTACTCCTTCCTAGTTAGGTCTTCTCTAGCCATCTCCAATAAGACTGGCAGCCCCCTGAACTCCTGTAGGAACCGTTGCCCATGCCATCAACCAAGCCCTTCAGTAGCTTTATCTCTGGGCGTCATATTGGTTAGGAGCATGGGCTCCTCCTATCAAGACACACCTGGGCTTTGATCTTGGCTTTGTCATTTCCTAGCTGCGTGAGCGTTGGCAACTGAATTCACCTCCCTGGACATTGGTGGATGCCTCTTTAAAATGAGAAGACTATCTCTGCCTGTTAGGCTTGTGGGTAAAGATCAAATAGAATAGCTTAAAAGCTATTAGATGTGATATAAATATTAAAGATATATTTAATACAACATAATTAAAAATCAGGGTTTAATAGGAAAATATTCATGAAATAGTGTTGTAATAGAAGAACTACAAAATTGTAAGTAAAGTAAGAAAGATCCAAATGTGTGTGTATGTGTGTGTTCACCAACATACATGAAAAGAATGGGAAGGCATACTTCAAAATGTTGCTCTGGATGATGGAATAATTTTCTATATTTTAAATTTTTTAGGATGGTATCATCCTAGATTTGTAATTGGAAAATATTATTTAAAAGGGAAAAATCAAGGTCTGATGATTATTCCTTTTTTAACTTAATTTTTATTAAATCATAACTGTATACATTTATGGGGTACAATGTGATGATTTGGTATGCAGTATGGAATGCTTAAATCAAACTAATCAGCATAACCATCACCTCACTTACTTATTTTTGTGGAACAATATTTATAATATACTCTTTGTTGTTTTGAAATGTACCCTCTTATTTGATATTTATATTCTCCCATACTTCAGAAAAGGCTTAAGTAACATGAAATGTGGTAAGATAAAATTACAATATAAAACCAAATAAAGCAAAGGAGAAGATACAAGTAGGAAAGCTCCTCTGTAGTGACACTGTTGCACATTTATTGTGATGGTCTCATATTTTTATGAAGTGTATTGTTTTTACGTTTTTCAAAACTTTCAGATTAATGTGAGCGTACAGTCAACTAGGTTACGATGTTTGCATTTGTTAGGTAGTCCGGCACCCGAGAGGAGGATCACACGCCCTTATACTGTGCCCACTAAGTGGGAGCACACCAAAACCCTCCCTCCTCCCACCTCGCCCCTGCTTGAATTGAATTGGATCAAGTGTGTTTTTAAAAGGATGGATGTCCTAGAATTTCCTTTCATCACAGCTTTCATAGGGAAGATTAATTTTGTAAAAGAAAGGCAGGATTTTATAATAAAATGAGATAATGTCAAAATGATACCTAAAAGAAAGAAGAATTTTCTGCTAGTTTTCAGCAAGTTGAAGATTCTGATTATTTTCTTTTTGCCTCGGTAGACAGCCCCAAGAAAGCCACCATTGATATTATCTGTATTATATTATGCTTGTATGGTAAGTTGCAAGTTAGAAGTACAGATACTCCTCAACTTATGATAGGGTTACATCCTAATACACCTATCCTAAATTGAAAATGTCATAAGTCAAAAAATACGTTAACCTACCTCACCTACTGGTCATCATAGCTTAGCCTAGCCTACCTTAAAGGTGCTCAGAATCCTTACAGTAGCCTACACTTGGGCAAAATCGGCTAGTACAAAGCCTATTTATTTTATAATGAAGTGTTGGCTATCTCGAGTACATAGTAGCTTGCCAAGGCAGAAAAACATTAAAATTCAAAACTCAAAGTATGGTTTCTACTGAATGTGTATCGCTTTTGCACCATTGTAAAGTTGACAAATCATGAGCTGAACCATCATAATTGAAGGGCTGTCTGAATACATTTGATTAGCATTGGTTTTGCCTATCTGTTTTGAAAAAGTTGAATAATGGAGCAACAGACTAGACTCTAGGGGGTCCTCAAACTTTTTAAACATGGAGCCAGTTCACTGTCCCTCAGAACTTTGGAGGGCCAGATTGCAGGCCCAGGGACAAGTCAGCTGCTAAGCAGGACAGGCAGCGGTGGCAAAAACATCCAGCAGGCTGGATAAATGTCCTCAGTGGGCTGCGTGTAGCCTGCGGGCAGCCCGCGGGCTGTAGTTGAGGACGCCTGGACTAGAGTAAAAAAACAAACCCAAACTGGGAATGCAGGTCTTGCCCTGGCCCTGTTATTACTTAGCTAGGTTTTAACTGCTTTCCTTACTTTTCCCTTGGAAATTGAGGGACCTGGATACGAGGATCTAACTTTGTCTATAGTTTAGTAAAGTTGTAGTTTCATGCATTTAGGAATGTGTATTTCCATTGATCCTTCCACTTGCAATCTTTATAGTATGTTAGTTAACTTTATAAAATGTTGATCATTGCCTTGTATGATATTTTTTTTAATTAAATGATACCTGTGTACATTAATGCAATCATGGGGTAGCCTTGTATGATATTAATGTAATTTAAATGTCTTTTTCACAGAGAGACCTCTCTCCCCCAAGGCTGTCAAAGGATTTGAAACTGTTCCACTTACCAAGAACTATTATAGTGTGGTGAGTGTTCGGATGACGGACGAAAATTTTCTTGACTCTATATGGAATCTTTTCACTTGTCAAACCATTGATATATTGAGGGGACACAAAGGAAAAATCAAGTTGCATGCAAGGGTCCTATGTCATTTGCATTACAATGAAGCTCTTCTACTTGTAAGCTTCTTACAGATGTCTAGAAGTCTTACATCTACTGTGCTAAAAAAATTCAAGGGTGGCACAAAGATTTAGAGCAAGGTCTATTAAACAGTAGTGAAAGATAAATGAGTTAATATGTAGGCATTATGGTGAAATTCAGCAGTTAGAGATAGCCTTATAGATGTTTAGAAGGTGAATTCCCAAGTTCCTGTAACACAGTAAGTTTTAAGTGATTTGCATTCTGTGATTTTACTGCAGAATCAATCACTCCATTATTATATCCTCTGGAATTATCAGCCTTGTTCTTGGGGAGAGCCCAGAGGAAGACTGCCCTTTGGCACAATGGGAGGAATCAAATGGCTCTGGCTGGAACACAGATATGTCAAAATATATTAGCTATGAATAGGACATGTGCAATACTCAAAATAAATTCCTGTTAGAAAAAGAAATTACATCATTCTCCTTAATCTACTCTCTGCTTTCCCTCATGTCTCCTTTCCAGACTTGGCCCAGTCACTAATGAAAAGGTCAAGTCATCATTACCTCTTAAGTTTCCTGGTCTGTTAGCCTTGTCATCTCCCACACCTCTGCTGAAATAGAAGCTTCAGCTTTTACCCAGTGTTCTGTTAATATGTGCATTTGTACTCCGTGTTTATTTCATTTTGTGCATGAATAAAAAGTTTTTGAACATCTCTACACAAGTATGTGAATGCCATTTGGTTTCAAAAAACTGAATTTCACTCTTCAGTGAATTTGCTCTATAATGGCGACAAGAACAGTAGATGACAT